CATGCCTCTTGCCCCATCTGTCTAAGCTCCATAGCTTTATTTTCTAATTGCAATAACTGAAAAGAAAAGAAAAAGTATATGCATGGCAGAAAAAATTTGAAATCTAATCTTCTTAATATTAGAAACAAACTGATTATCCTAATTTATATGAATACCCGTAACCATTCATATGTTGACACGAAATATTCTTGAATGTGCCCGGCAGGAAGGAGGATCAATTTAGAGTTGACATGATGTTTGACAACAAGCATTTGTTTAATTTGTTCCACAAGGCTCTGAGGATGAATTGTTGGTTGATAAAGAGAGTAACTGGCATTGCATTTGCACTTTTGGGGACCACTAGATAATGCTGTGCTTATGGAGATGCACATGTCGAAGTTCCCCTCTCGTAACCCTTTAAAATCTTTAGATCTAGTGGCTCAGGACCTGACACAATGGAGAGAGGAGCAGGGTTCTGATCTTACAGAAAACTCCAAAGCTGTCTAATGAAGCTAAAGCCAATGATCTAGTGCCCACGGATTTGTTCTTTGTTTAATCCAATAGTTGAGTTTCATGATTAAGAAGAAAAGGATTCTTGTAACATGATTCTATTTTATTATTGAGACATAATTGGATCAACAACAAAACAAGTTTTCCATTTCTCTTCCGATGCATTTAGATCAACCAAAAAAAGATGGGTTTGAATCTGAATCTTAACCATTCCCCACTCTCTCTCTCTTAATTAATTTATTAATTAAGCTGGTTAACTAAAAAGGATAGGGTTAATTTCTCACTATATGTAAGTCATTAATTCGTAATCATGATTCATATTGTAATAAAATTTACCCTTATGTTTTTAATATTTAAAAGTATGTGTACAACAGCTTAATGCAAGAGTTAATTCCACTTTGACATGCAGAGGCCAGAGAGAATTAGCTATAAACCAAATGATTTTTTATTAAGCAGGTTTGATAATAGAGTATTGCAAAGTAAATTAAGTAAAGAAAGAAATGGAACATAACCAATGTGAATATTGGAAATAAAAAATGTAATAATGTTTTACAGAAATCCTTTAATTATTTTTAAAAAATTGTAAATAAATCTTTATTTCTTATTACTTTCAAATAAGTTTATATATTTTTATTTTAATCAAATAAAATTTTATAACAACAAGTGATCAACTACCATTAGTCAAAATGATACATGCTATTTTACTTATGTGACATGGAAAGTGAAAATTATTTAATATAATATGTTAACATGATACGTGAGTGATATTTTAGTTATTAACAATTAATCAATAATTAATAAATAAAAATTTATTTAATTTAAAATAAAAAAATAAAAGTGAATATAATAAAATAATAAAAGTATATTTAAAATTTTCAAATAATTCAAAAAAATTTAAAATATTATGTTGAAATGTATTTTAAACTAAATGAATTTCAATATAAATTTGATTTAATAGTGTAAGAAAGAAGATGATTTTCGATTGAGACATCATACTAAACATCCAGATAGGATCAACGATGATGGAGATATGTTTCCTGGATTTAGAAATCGCTAACTATTTCTTAAACTTGAAGAAACTGTTCTCTCTACGGATAAGTTACTTAAAGAAAAGTTTTACATGATAAACAATAATGAGGCTTGGCAATTACTGGAAGAGTGCTGGCGTCAATCATTTTTAATGGGAAATAAAACTATAAGATATAGTGAAAGCGCCGTACCTCCGACAAAATGATATATTAAAAACAAAACTTTTACCATTATTTAATTATTTAATGATAAATGTATACCTCGTATTTAAAAAGTTGGATTTAATTTTTTTTAATAAAAAAAGGTTGTTTGAAAATAATTTAATTATTTAATGATAAACGTCTATTCCATATTTAAAAAGTCAAATTTATTTTTTTAATTTAAAAAATAATGTTGAAAATAGCATCCAATGAAGACAAAATGTGATGGTGGCATTTACCGGCTTATGGAAAAAGGATAAATTCTCATGCCAAAAATACTAAAAAGATAAGAAGATAGGAAGGAAAAAGCTATTGGAAATGATCTCTACTTCCAACGGTATTCATGGTACAAGGATCTAATACTAGTAATTTGAGTTTGCCAGTTCAATCACAGATATATCAAAACAATTAAATAAATTAGAAATAAATATATTCATACGATAAACATTACTTTTGTTTTTTATCTTAAATAAAGGGCATTATATTTTTAAAAAATTCAAATATTTATGATGAGGTGTTGAGTATTTTTTTTTTCTGGGTTGTTAATCTATATTTTTGTTGGTTAGCTTACCGATCTCCTTTGAATGGATCTAAAGCTACCATGCAAAGTGACCCCTTGTACATGTTTTTGGCATCACTTTGTCAACTTTCTTAATAAATATTTTTGTTTTTTTTTTATTTTTTATTTTGAATCATTATTTTATAATATGATATTAGTAGAAAACGATATATATTTATAGTTATATCGTATTTGATCAAGTATTGAAAACGTATTGTAAAATATATGATATGTATTTTACAATATAATCGATATATTTTTTATAAGTTTTATTTTAATTAATTATTAAAAATTTTATTTTTTACTATTTTTTGAGTTTAAATAGGAAAATTTATATTTTATGAGTTTAAATCTTTATATTCTAAATAAAAAAATACTAAAAAAATCTCTTTTAATTTCAACATGATAAATATTTTTTAATTTTTAATTAATAATTAATATAAAAATAGTATATTTTATTTAAAAATCTATATTATTAAGAGATATATTGAGAATTTAAATTAAAAAAATCATCTTTTCAATTTACTCTTTATAATCTTTCATTTTAGTAAAAAATATAATATTTGTTACTTTTTATTTTATATTATAAATTTTATTTATAATTAATTTTAAAATTTTTTATCATATCTTACAATATACTTTATACTTGATATTAAAAAATAAGATTTCGATACACTATATATATATATATATATATTAATTTAACAACTTTTAAATCAAAACATTACTTGTTATTTTAAATCACATAATGCTGACATGATATATTGACATGTCATATTAGATGGTGATATGATATGTTGATATAACCATATAACATTTTTTATCTTTTAAGTTTAAATGATTATAAAATGATAAATGATATTTTAATTAATAATAATTAATCAACAATTACTTATTTAACTCAAAATAAATATACAAATACTTGACTAAACATAATAAAAGATTATTTATTTAAAATTTTTTAAAATATTATACCTAAATAAAATAAAAATTGCAATCTTTTACCCAACCATTTTCCTAATGAGTAGTACCAAAATACACTTATAATATAAAATCAACTTTAAGTTTGTGACCATTGAAAATCAAGCCCCCACCTTTACACTATATGAAAACAAACTGAGAACCGCTCACTATAAAATTGTCATAATTCATGTCCTAATGCCATCATTAACAGGCTTGGCCACCATTTCTACCACAATCAATGTCCTCTTATCCCACAGAATTGCATGTCAGGTAAAGGCAAAAGTTTTGATATGTCCAAGTTCCATCTCCATCCACTGGCAAAAGCCATTGGTTTTTTCAAGAATACATTTTAACCCTTGGATGGGTTAACCTTATAGAATCAGAGGAATGTCCCCTTTCTAAATCAGTTCTGGCTCTGTCTATTATCTTAGAGACAACATGAATAAATCTGTTGAGGTGGTGTGGCAGGAATGTTTTTCCTTTTAGTGGAACCATTTGGTAAGGTTGGGTGTTGATGCTTCACATCATGAAGTTTCCAAGAAAGCTATTTAGTCATTATCATTGCAAATTTTTTTTACCCTTTAACCCATTAAAGCTTTTTATTTTTTTTTCTTCTTCAAGAGAAAAAGAAAAGAAAAAAAAAAAAGTTCCTTTTAGAATTTGGAATCAATCTTTGCCAAATTTCATGGCTGTTATAATGTTTTGAATTAACTTTGCATCTTAGGATTAGAAAAATATTAGAATTAGAAGAAGTGGGTCTTGTTCAGCTATTGCACTTTAATCCAATAGAAGCATTGGTAAATGAGTAAGGGCTAACTAAAACCTAAAGATGCACTCCTCCTTACTCCTTTATAAAAAAATTGTCACCCAATTGTTGAACTAATACAGTGAAAAGATGGCTTCTTTTTTTTTTCATATAAATTTAAATATTTCTCCCTCCCATAAGTGATGGCAAAGATATGTTCCAAGTTCCAACAACTCTTTTCTCTACTTTATTTCAAACAATTTTAATAGTGATTTCTGAATATTAGTCGGATATAAATATCTTAAAATTAAAAATATATTTACGTAATATTTAATTTATAAATAATAATACAATAAGAAAAAATTTTAATAATTTTGAAATAAGAAAAAGTTAGAAACATAGAAAATATAACAGTTTAGTAGAATTAATAAATTATAATTAAAATAAATTTTGCATCCAATGGTAAAAATGGAAAATTAAACCCAAGTGAATTTGTTTTAAAAGAAAATGGACATTATTAAATTTGGGCTAAAAAAAAAAAAGAAAAAAAATGCGCCCATCACTTACCCAACACGTGCCACCTTCAAGCACGTGCAGCAGCCAGAGGGGCAATTGTGACTTGGGTGGCAACAAAAATAAATATTTTTTTTTCTTTTTTTTTTCCTAAAGGAAGGAAAGAAACTCAAATGGGAGATATCAACACCAACAACAACATTTGACGAAGCTTTGTTCTTTTTCTTTTCCTCTTCTTCTTCTTCTTCGTGTTACGCTTCTTTGTCTGAGAAAACCCTTTTCTTTACTCATCATAAGAAGCGTCTTCTTTGTTTCCTTCTTGTCTTTTCTTTATCATAATTATAATATTATTATATTATACACATAAGAAGGATTTGTTTTTCATATGCCTTGGTTTTTTTTTTATTGTTGAGTTTGGTAAATTAACAAAGAACAACTCAACCCAGAGAGAAAGAAGAAATAAAAGAGAAAGAGATCATTTGGTTATCATTTTTGGAAATCTATGGAGCAGCTTGTCAACTTTATAATACGGCCTCCCAGGTAGTCTTTTGGTTTTTTATATTACTTTTTGGGAATAAATGATCTTGTTTTCTCTTTTTTTATTGAATTTTATTGTATTTTTGCTGTGGTTTTGTTCTGTTTGTTTGATGAAAAAATTTGGAAAGAGAATGAAAAAATTGGGATTTCATCTATAAGTGTTTTTGGTTTGCAGGGATCAAGAAAAGAAAACCCGTTTGCTCAAATGATACTAATTTAACTACTTGCTTATACTTAGACCCTTTTTTCTTTTTTTATATCGCATCAGATTTAAAGCTTTTGTTTTTGTATTTATGCCAATCAGTTTTCTAAGCAAGCAGGCAGGGGTGATTATTGTTACATGGTTGTTTATTGTTCCAATTTGATCATATTAGCAAGCCTCTTAATTTCCCATGATCTTTTCAAAATTTAGATTCTGTCTAATTCTTTGTGACGGTTTTCTTCAGCTCTCATGTTCTGGTATATTAATTTTCATATATTTCGTATAATTTTGTATATATATATATATTATTGTTGTTGGGGGTGGGGCGTATGAGAATCTTAAACCTTTGACTGGGTGCTGGCAAAAAAAAATAAAATTATCTGATGGTTTTAGCAGTTACAAAGTTGATAATTGACAAAGAGACAGTTGAAAGATGAAATTTTATGTAACTGTTTTGTTTAGTTTTGAAAGAAGTCTAGGGAGAAAAAGCTGCATGTAATAATTTTGATCCGCTTACCTGTGAAATTGAAACTGTTATTGGTAGGAATTAGATCTTCAAGACTTTTGCGTTATATCTCAATTTGGAAATATACATTATGTGGCTTGAAGTCTGTTGGAATGCTGTTCTAGTTTGAAGATAAGATGATTTATAACCAGTAGAGTTATGAAATGAACCTGGAGATCTGCGCATTGAGATATTAAACAGGAAAGGAAAGTGAATGGAGAGTTAGTCAGGAACTTTTGTAATGAGATACTTACAGATGTATAACTGTTTGGGACATCATTAATTTAGGACTGTGAAGTATTCTAAACTATAATTATATCGTACTTCTTTTTTTCAATTTCTAATGGGTATCATTTTTGGTTGGCAGAGCTGAATACAACCCAGATAATGATCTATTGGATCAAGAATTCATGCTGAAAGGGAAATGGTACCAAAGAAAGGATATAGAGGTACAGTTTAAGATTATCTATGCAAAGGAAATTTCAAATTTATTTAGCTTTCTAAAATTCTTAACCTTCAGGTTTGTTCAAACTTACTAATGATGTTAACCTCTTCATTTCCACTTTCTTCGTAAAAAATAGTGGTGCAACAGATAGGATCACTTTCTGTTGTCTTCCACTCATTCAAATTACTTATAAATTAAAATCAGTTAGCTACGTGTCCCTAGCAAGTGTTCCTCTTTGCATTCTCTTTTCCTTTGACAGGAAACATTAAGAGGTCAATGTTTTAAATTGTTTGAGTTATTTGTGACATTTTGCCTTATCATCATGCGGCAACCATCATGCTGGCATGTGCTTTATGAGACATCATAATTTATTGAAGATTAAAGCTTTTATCAAATTTAGAAATTATAAGTGCTAGTGTGTTTTCTGCATATTGGTACAAGAAAGGTTAAGATTAAACTCATTCTACAAGTAGGCCTTGGTTTTCATTTGATGAGATTCTAAATCAATGGTAAAATCAGATCTGAAACTACTTTTGCATTATCTCTTTATCGGGTGGGCGGGTCAGAAGTTTGTTCTAGCAAGATATGTAGTCTCTTTTTAAGGTAAATTAGAAATCTAGATTTGTTTGACTTTCGGTATATCAGAATTGAGAGTTGGTTAATTTAGAAAGGAAATCTCAGGGCATCAACATATGAAGTAAACCTTATAAAGATATGATTGGGATGGTTTGAAAGGTTTAAGGTCTTGAAGCACAAAGTAACAGTCTTAGGTCTGACTGGACAGAATTCAAATACTCAGAAATATTAACATAGGACTGCAACTATTTAAAACTGTTAATTTTCTATGTATTATGTGATAATAATTTCAGATCTCCTAATAGATTATGAGAAACTGTTGTAAATTAAAAATCTGGTCGCGTTAATTTTGATTTTCTTTTAGTGGTGAAGATGTGGGGGTTGAGGGGGGTGAGTCAACAAGTATTTCTTGTACATTCTTTACAAGAAGATATTTCCTTTATGATTGTTTATAATTTGGATGAATCTAAGTTGGTGTTATATGTGAGGTGCTTTTGCCATTTTGCAGGTTAAAAACAGCAGGGGAGATGTTCTACGGTGTAGTCATTACGTGCCCCTGGTTAGTCCTGAAGGAAAACCTCTGCCCTGTGTAATATACTGCCATGGGAACAGGTGACAAAGAAGTTCTGACTGGTTACTGGAGAAATTGCTGGCAATATCAATAATTGTTTGTGGAAACATAGGAAAAAAAAAATCTTTGAAGTTTGTATTCCCATCAAAAATGACTTTTTAGTCCAACTTGCGTATATCAATTAACATCAGCCATCTAATAGCATTGGTTATCTTTAGGGCAGTTGTATTTGGATAAAAATCCCTTCATTTATTTACTTACTTTTTCTTTCATTTCTCTTGCTTATATAGTATATCTTCAATTAGGTAACACCTTGTACTGATGATTATGAATTACAGACGGTTATAATTGCATTTATTGTTAGTTAGGCTATTGATTTTTCTGACTATATTTTCTAATGCTATCATGTCATTACTCTTTTTACCACCAGTAGTAATTTAGAGACTTTGATTGTTTTATATTTAAATTTATTTCATACAGCTTAGTGCTTGCAAACTCCATTTTGTTACTTTTCTATAATCTAAGGAACAAATTCAAAAAAATATGAGATAATGCATTTTGCAAAGAATTGTTTTAGTTGTGTAATTTTCAGATATCAATTGCTTTAGTATTCTACATTGGTGCCATTTCTGTATTGCTGTTGGCTAGTATTCAGGGATTCTGTGACTAGTTTCTGTTTTATCTAATATGTTTCTTACTTCAGATCTAATTATATATATATATATATATATATATATATATTTCCTCTTGTTGCATCTTCTATGTTGGCAGTCAACCAAGTAAAATATTGTACACTTGTACTTTTTTTTGGTTACTGTTTTGTAGCCATCATTGCTGACTGCTAGCATATCTTGGTTTTTGGCAGTGGCTGCAGGGCTGACGCTAGTGAAGCTGCTATAATCTTGCTGCCTTCAAATATTACAGTTTTCAGTCTTGATTTTTCAGGATCTGGGTTATCTGGAGGAGAGCATGTCACCTTGGGTTGGAATGAAGTAAGTGAATAGCTAGCTAATTGAAGAAAATCTAGAACTTCTTGTTCTCATTTTGCTATGGATGTAGGAAATGCCTCTTGTAGTGTTTGATCAATATTTTGAGTAACGTTTTGCATGCAATCATTTCTGGTTGTGAACTTGTGATAATGTGGCTCTCTGCAAATTGGTTATATTAATTGTTAATCTGTCTTGGGTTATTTTCGGTATGCTTACTTTACATAGACGTGTTGTACAGTGACCTTTAGTAGTTTCTTCTGGGAAAACTTGTTTTGGGGGTGAATACTTTTGGTTTTTAGGTTTTGTAAGTTTACACATGCATTGAACTTTTTCTTGACTATGCTCTTTGACATTGACCACTAGTTGAATTATGTATCACATGTGAAATTTCAACCTTGTAAGTTATAAAATTAACTAAAATAAAAAACGTAAAATAGCCGCTTCTCTTCCTTTGATCCTTCTCCCTGGCGTATGGTGAATGCTTCTCATGAGTTTACATTTGAAAGTTCTGATAAGTGGAACTCTCCCAATATTTTTTTTAAAAAAAATAAAGGTTAAATAATTGTCACCCACTTTGCTCCTTATCAGATAAAGTAGCTACCTGTCACCCAGGTGGTATATAATCTTATCAAAGGCATATTTGTCACCAACTTTGTGCTGTCTGAATTGTCCTTGTTAAGGTCAATTGTACACCTTTTCAACTTGGAAATATACTTTTAACTTGTATTTCTTCTCCACTAAAAGCCTTGATAAAGCATTATTTGGGGAAGGGAATAGAAAAGCCTTGAACACTCATCCTTTAGTGACTTTCTCTATGTATCACATATGTCCATTTTGCTCTTTATTGCCAGTCATGAAAATTCTGCCTGACATTCTTTTCCTATTTTTCAGAAGGATGATCTAAAAGCAGTGGTTGATTATTTGCGGGCAGATGGAAATGTCTCTTTGATTGGCTTATGGGGCCGCTCAATGGGTGCTGTTACCAGGTTATTCAAAGCACTTGCCATTTTCCTTTGAGCTTACTGTTGGAGAGTTTTGAGTATGGAAGCCCTGTCATGGAGTTTTAATGCTATCCTGCATGGATTTCTCAAATACTATTTATTAAATAAATTGGTTTTAGTCTGCTGTCTTTCTCTTCTGCTAGTATAATTTTTTGTCGTGTTCATATGAACCTACAATAGCAGATGTGTTTCTGCTTGTTTATGTGACAGTAAGTATGTAAATGATTGCTTACAGCCTAATGTATGGAGCTGAGGATCCTTCAATTGCGGGAATGGTTCTTGACAGTCCCTTTTCTGACTTGGTTGATCTGATGATGGAACTAGTGGATACATATAAATTCCGTTTGCCCAAGTTCACAGTAAGGAGATACATTGTATTACATTTTAATTATTATATCTTTTGCTGATTTTAGCTCTTTTTGACTTTGTGCCTAACTAAAATTAAGCACTGTGACCAAGGGGAAATTTGGGGTGCTAGAGATTGTATAGAAAATTTGGTGCTGGCAACTATTATAAGGAATGGTGGTGTTTTTCAAAAAAATAAGGAAAAAATTATAGTCTTTCGATTGTAGTTCTTCATGAACTCATTCTAATAACCACATCCCACTATTAGCATGTCCACTTTCTTTGATTGACCCAATGATGGACAGTTTTAATTTTGCAAGTTTATTCTGTTGATTTATTGTATTACATTTTTTTTGCTATAAGTCTAGTTGATTCTAGCCTGTTTTCTTTCTAATTAATGATAATCAAACACAATGAACTAAAGGAAAAATTTTAATAGTAATGACTCAAATCGGAAATACAGCATATGTTTAAGCTGTTTAGCTTGATAGATGAAGGTGAGTCATCAACCTTCAATTTCAGGTCCTATTGTCGCTAGCATGCTCAAATTATCTTTTTGCTTGCTCAGCAAAGTTGTTATCAAATTTTTTTATAAGAATCTTGAAATCATTGCTTCTGTTGTTTTATGACCCTAACTTTTTCATTTGCTTGCTCCAGGTTAAGTTTGCAATCCAATACATGCGAAAAGCTATCCAGAAAAAGGCAAAGTTTGACATAACGGACCTTAACACCATCAAGGTTTTAGACTGAAAATAAATTATTTTTCTATGTTGCTCAAGAAACTCATATTTCTGTTTGTGCATGGTGGAGTTTCTTCCTGTTATTTTTTGCATTGAGCTCTTTTGATAAGTGGTTTGATTTAATTTTTCTTTGTTTTTTGATTGATTGGTGAAACCATTAAATGGAGTCTTAATGTTTTAGCGGACAGATATGTTATATTTTTGAGTTGATGTGACAAATTATTTGGCATAGTACCATTTGAATTTATACGAGGTATTGTCTGACAACTACTAAGTGAACCTGAAAGATCAACCAGATTGTCTGCTACTGATCCAACCATATAAATGCAAATAAATGGATAAAAATCCAATCTTTGAGTGCTCTACTGAGTTCATCTTGGCCAACAAGCTGAGGATTTAATATAGGGACTAAGATGTGATAATGAAAGAACTTGTGTTGTAACATCTCTCTCTCTCTAACACGCACATATACATGCACACATGCTTGTGCATGGAACATGCACCAAAAAATAAGTTTTGGAAGTGTATCTTGCCTGATTTGATATCTTTAGCCATAAATAAAAGGGATTATTATTGATCTGTGCAAATAGACAAAATGCCAGAATGGTGTCACCAACCAATAGCTTTTGTAAGTTCCTGGAATTGCTTCTGGATGGGTTGCTACTATGTAGAAAATACATGTAAAAAAGGGTATAGGGGTGGAGGGAAGTATGATATACACATGAAATTGGAAATTGAATGGTATAATGATTTCACTTTGTAGTGCCTTTATTTTTTTTTTTTCATGCTCTTTACTTTTTTGCATAAGTGTGATTTACATTTTTACTTATCTTCATTTTAATCTAGGTGGCAAAATCTTGCTTTGTCCCTGTGCTGTTTGGGCATGCTGTCGATGATGATTTTATACGCCCTCATCACTCAGATCGAATATTTGAAGCTTATGTGGTAAGTTTCCTCCTTGTTAGTGATAGAATTTGATAAGGAATTCTTAAGGTATGGAACTCCATATTGGAAAAAAATGTTAATCCTATATATATATATATATATATAATCCTTTCCTTTTCTATTAAGCTTTCAGGATAATCAGAAATCTTTCAGTTAATGGTTTTCAAAATCTCTCTCTACTTCAGATTTGTCCTACTTGCTAGCCCTGTATTATCTTCATGGCCTGCATTTTTGGAAACAAGTATGGAGTTTATTAGAAGAACCTGATAATGTAAATGGTTGCATCCATTTATGTATTAGCTTGATAAATCCATACAAAAAGGGTTATCTTCCAAAATTTCATTGTGCATGATTAGCATGGTTTTCCATTATCTGCATTTATATAGGAATATGATTAATTGAATGATTGATTTTCCTTCAGTTTCGTAGCCATTCCCGCATTCCACGCGATGCCTTATATATTGATGCACTACTTTTGCAGGGTGATAAGAATATTATCAAATTTGAGGGAGATCACAACTCTCCTCGCCCTCAATTTTACTTTGATTCCATAAATATTTTTTTCCACAATGTCCTGCAACCTCCTGAGGATGAGGTGGGGGCAAATCTTTATGATTCAATACATGATTACTTTGGTAAGGTAAGTTGGGCTCTAAACACATATTTAGTGGTCTTACTTTTATTGGAAGTGCCAGATGTCATTTCCACAATCCTTTGCTAATTCTTGACTGTTTTATCCTCAGGGTAGTTGGGCTGTCCCTAAAGTAGGTTTTCTCCCAGAGTCTTCAGCTGCATCTAAAGGCATGACTAATGTACCTTGTAATTCTTGACTTACATGCCAATTTTTGCACACCTATTAATAATATTGTCTTACTGGTTGACTTTTATCACAGAGCCAGCAACTAGCAGCACAGCAGATGCCATTAAAGAAGTTCGTTCTAAAAGACCTATGAGTCGAACGGAGGTCAGTTTTAGTTGCCTTTTTTTTTGCCTGTTTGTCAAGAATGACTCATAACACAATTTCTTCAAACATTCTTCTTCAAACTCGGTGCATTTGAAGGGGTCATATTACCTAATAAAAAATCTGGAAAGTGTATGGATGAACAACTTTGATCTTCTGCTTTCTATTTGAAATGAACATATGTATATAGGAAAATAGATAAGGGAAAAGAAAAGCAATATTTATGAGTTCAAAAGCCTTGTAAACAGTTTCCTTCTGTCGTTATTATGGTTTATTCATCTACATTGGAAAAGAAATTTAACTTTTTTTGTAAAAAATTTGTGTGTAATATTTGCATCTTTGATTGTGCTCAGGTTCCTTCTGATATCCCATCTAAAGAAAATCACACTGAATGTCAGGTATTTTTTTCATTTTTTAAAACTTTGCTTCATTACTTCAAGTGGATTTTTAATGTGCAATGCATAGGAAAAACATTTATTTGTCAAGTTCTACAAATGGATGGATCATCCTCTGAAGCAATGCCACACAACTCAAGGACTTAGCCCATTTTATGTCAGCTTATTATGTAATTCACATTGAAATGGAAATATAATGCCAATTTGATGCTCGCTAATTGTAATATAATGCCAATTTGACATTACAGTGATATCATCATAGGACACAACTTAGATTTGTGGCTTTGCTGATAGAGCATAACATTCAATTATGTGTATAGCAGCGTGTAGTTAGGCTTTGTGCTCTCTTAGATGCTTCACAACTCTGTTTTTCATTTGCTGGTTAATCACTCTGGCTTTGTCTGCCTTTGCATGAAAAAGCTAAATAAATTTAAAAAAAAAAACTTGTGAGATGGATACAAAAAGATAAATTGAAATGGATAGTGTATATAAGAATGAGGGATAGAGTGGCTTAGGATGGGAAAGGGAGGAAGAAAAAGGTGTCACTCACACTGAATGGTGCTTGCTGCAGGAGAAAGACAACGTTGATGATAATGGTTCGTCATCATCCAATATGATAAGCTTTGAATTATCCAATGGTAATCCATTTGGCCCACATGTGCCAACAACAATGGATGATGATCAGTATGTGGAATATCAACTGGATGACTTGACAGGTTTTCCATGTAATGTGGAGGAGGAAGAAAGGGTGAGTTGAAACTTTCAGCTTTCACTGATGTCTATAAACATTCTTGAGTATCTAATCAACTCATAATCTTTTATCCATATTTCACACCTCTATATATTCAGATGTTCATGGAAGCCATAATTGAGTCCTTAAAGGACTTGGAGACACAGCGTCCTCAGATAGAAGACCAACCCAAAGCTTGTGCTGATTCTTCAGAGTCTTTACGGAAAGATGATATAAATAGCCGGGATACTTCTTCCACCACAGAAAAGTGCAGTTCCTTGCCCCCACAGTCCACTTCCACTCCAGTGGAGCATCAGGCACCCTTTGAGACAGAATCCAAATTAGTAATCAATGGCTCCAATGTTGCCCATGAGCACACATCTCCCTCGACTTGTGTGTTATCCGTGGGACCTGCATTTGATACTCCTCCATCAACCATTGAATCAGGGAGCACAGTGACCTCTGCTCGAAGTGATTCCTCGGGAAGCATCCAAAGTTCATCTGATGCAGACATGTCAGCTAGCACAAAAGCCACTGTAACAGTTGTACGAAACCCCTCTACTAACATCATGGATGGCTTGATGCGTCGCTGGGATCTCAACTTCTTTCGAAACAGTCGATGAAAGTTAAATGACCATATTTGAACAGCCTGGTGATGTATTATTTTGTAACTAAGATAGGGTAGGAATTTTAGCATTGTAAAATGTTCAACGGAAAGGAAAGGCAACAAAAAAAAAAGAGGAAAAAGGGGTAAAAAAGGGTTTGTCATGTGTTACGAAATATGATTATATTGGCATTGGCTTTCATTATCTATTGTTTTCTCTGGAAAAAGATGTAATGATTTTTTGCACAATTGGATAACTTTCTGTTAATACCATTACCAAAACATCTTTGCTTTGCTCGTTGGTAGTTCCAATTCTACAAAGAGTAGCTCTGGATTTTACTGCAAGCTGCAACTTTCCTTTTCTGGGAGCGGATGCTGGGCCAATTTATTGTATAACACACCACATACAGTCGTACACTATGGTTTTGGCAGCCAAATATACATTTATGCAACACTACTGCATAGCCACATCAGAACCTAATATGCAGAAAGCAGCCTTAACTCAGTTTTATGGTTGAAATGTACGACTACTAACTGAATACCGTGGATGGAGCATGAATGTCATTTTCCTATGTTTACACATAAATAATCGGGTGTGAAATAACTGAGCCATAATGATAATGGGACCATCCATTTTCTTCCTGGGATTGTGCACTTATGGTCTTCTAATACTGAGACCATCAACCATTATTAACAATCAGATAAAAGGACAGAGATTTGCTTCGAAAGAAGTAGCTAGTTAGAGAAATTAGGGCAGGGATAGTCGTGAATATTATTGGCTATTATGGTAGTTCTCCTAAGCCTTCTGGATTTATTTTTCGTACCTGTCAAAAGGTGTAGAGAGAAAATTATGGCACCACCCCTTTTGGAAAGCAATGTGGCAACCACTAACATGAATTGACATTTTAATTGTTACTTCTTTTATGTATTACATTTTATATAAATTTGATACGATTTGACATCAAAATATGTCATTAAAGTAAATATTGATGAAAATGATGAATTAATGTTATAGATTAAGGATTTGATTTAATTTGATGCACGTTTAAAGATATATATATATATATATATATTCAAAGATTTTGAATTATATAAGTTATTTGAGGTATAAGATTAACATGAAATGATTTGAGGTGATAAAGTTTAGATTTTTAAAGGTTTAGAAGACTTAAAACTGTTTACAGGGGAAAATATATCGATATATTTCCTATGTATTGATACATTTTTAGCATGAATAACAATATGATGTATTCTGGAAGAATTCTATCGATAGATTTGATCAAAGATGAGCATGTATCGATACATTATAGTATTTCTGAAAAATAAATATAATTGTGTGACTAGATAAGAATGTTTAGGCTAACTAGTTATTTGAAAGAAGAAATCTATGTTTGTGTGATTTGACACATTCCTTAATTCTCATGTGAAGTTAATGACATGAGGGCTTATAGCTTTATTGTGTTTCGTTTGATGATACCTTAAAGATTAGGAGAGAGAGATCCGAACTCTGTTTTTTAGGCAGGAAATAATGCACCAACCAATGAGTCAAATGCTCGAATGTAATTGTTACTTATTTTATACATTACATTTTATAAATTTGGCACCATTTGTCTTTATGTCGAATATTATTTTAATTTTTTTGTAATAATTAATAGTAGCTAATACGTGTGTGGTGTTCTTCCTTGAATCATAACATCACCATGGATCTAGTCATGTTATGACTTACTAATATTAGGGATGTTGATTGTTCGAAAACATCCGTATAAGACAGAGTGGTAAGCATTTCTTCAAGCTTTACCTGCTTCATTGGTAATTCCTAATAACCTTGTATACATAGAAAGATCATCTAGGCATATAGCAAACCAAGACTGCACATCTATATATCAGCATGTTATAAATAATAATAATAATAATAATAATAATAACCCTTGAATTCAATGATTTACAATAACTTATAGCAATGTTATAAGAAAAAAAAAAGAATAACTTATGGTAGCAATTGCATCAACATGATTATTGCTTAGAGAAAAAGAATCTGCTTTAGCTGTTATGAGTACATATTCACAAGACCAATTATTCAAACACTTGCAGTGATATATAGTAAATTTGAATGGTGGAGTTGCCTCATTCTGTACAACTTAGCTCTCCCTCAGCAGCTTCAATGCGGTTTCAACCAGTGAGTGAATTGTTGTGCTGTGCCGGCTGAGCCCAACAGTGCCAGAGAATATGTTGAAGCTCTCTAGCTCTGCTGTGCTCTCTAATACACCCTCCAGCTCTTTCTCCATCCCCAAACCGTTGAAAATGTATACATTCTTTACATTGTCATGCATCATCCAAATTGCCAACTCTATGGCGAATCTCCTTATTCTTGGAACCTTAGCCGATGGATGGTAGTATTTCTGAAGAATCTGAACCAATGCTTTAGCTAATTCTTCCTCTTTAATTCCAGCTCTGTCAAACATGATTCTTGATTCTTCAGAAGCCATATGTTTGAACACCTGTGCTGCTAGACCAACCATTACTTCTTGTAACTTGTTCTCTTCTGACATGATTGCCTTGAGCACCTGCCACAATGATAAAATATCAAGCAGGGGAAATCTACTCTATAACAATTGTAATATAGACAAGAGATGAGGGTAAATATATGCTTCGGTGCATCTTTTGACATATATGACATAGTATTAGTTTTCTTGTTCACTGAAGGAAAAAACTTACTGTGGGTGCTGCAGCTATGACACCCTTTAACTGGTAAAAGCATTCTGCTCCACTGTAGGTGCACAAGTTTCTTAAAATTCTTGCAGCATTCACACGAAGTAATGGATCCTCCAACGCTTCAACAAGCCTTTCCAGGGCTTGCAATTTCAAGATGCGATGGCAATTAGTTCTACTTTCTAAGGCCAACATAGCTAGTGCTTCACCTGCAGAACGTCTTACATGATTCTGATGCTCTGG